GATCTCCACCGCACCCACCCGTACCATCCAAACTACTATGAACCAATACTTCACTTAAAACATGTCCTCTGAATCGAGCCCTGGGCCTACATTDGCCCATCAGTGTACATACAACCTGGTCGCGCCTCCATAACAACTCCTCGGAGGAAGGCGCCGCCCCTCGGAGCAGCTAGAAGCATTATTTCTCACGAAAGCAATGGTTCTGGCCTTCCTATTGCCTCTTCTAGTTCACGAGGTTAAATATAATATTAAGTTTTTTTTTTTTTTCAAAACCTCCTATCTCAACCGAAACGCCCACACCAAACCGCCCCACGGTCACCAAAAATTGCCAAACCTTCGAACCCAAACGCCACACCACTCGCCAAATCCAAACCCCTGGCACCGACAAACCACATCCATCTCTGACATCACCACAAAGACGTCAAACCCTGACACCCCCTGTCACAACCACTCCGACACCATCCACCACAAACCCTCTCATCCCACTCACTCCCAACTGTACATGACCCCACAACCCCACGACCCCGACACTCCCAACCGACCACAACACAAAATCGGCCAGCAAAAACCACCAAACAGACCCAACCCCCAACCACCCGGCCGAATTTCACCCATCCCACAAGACACAACCACCCACCCTCCCTCACCCCACGAAACCCACACAACAGACCCACCCACCAACACACAACAATCAACCTAACGAGCCCCCGATCCATCACCTCACAATCCACGAATTGTCTTCCCTCACGTCACACTAAACCCAACGCCAACACCATGACCACCACCGCCTCCCACCTCCTAAACAAGGAAACCTATAACGCGTTTATGGACCTCCTCACCAACCACCCCAACCCAGGCCCCCACCTAACCGAACGCTGGACCCCGGCACCCTCCTCCAAGCCATCATCCACGACTCTGGAGTCACCCCATTCCTAGCCCTCGGAAACAGCGAAAACGTCGTCCACGCCATCGCCATTCACCCAACCACCCCAGCCGTCTACACCTTCTCCAGCGACACCCTTCACCAGAAAGACCATAAATGCCCCTCCACCACAGGCCTTGACCACGCCCTCAACCAAAACCCCGTCCCCTACCTCAAACCCCACAGCAACGCCATCGCCAAACAGCTCCCCCTCCTGTCCCAAATCGCACCCACCCTCCTCCCTTTCTACGTCAAAGACGACAATCCAACGCACCCCATCGCCCTCCGCTCCCAACTCATCACCCAGGAAAAAATCACCCAAAACTCCCCCACGGCCAAGTGGCTCCTCGCAGCCAGCACCAACCAACCCAACAATCCCGCACGAAGCGCCTTCCACCTCGCCCCCACCAACCCCCGCCTCCCTTTCTCCGCCCAACTCTCCTCCCAAATCATCGCCGACCTCGAAGACATTTGGCCGACCCAAGCACAGGCTCTTCTCACACTCCTAACGGAAGCCAACATCCTACACACCAACGAGCCCAACCCAACCCCACCAAACCAACCCACACCCAACCCACACCCAACCAACGCGACACCACCACCACCCACACCCCCACCACCAACCCCAACAGACCCCACCCCAGCTCCGCCCGCGCTCCCAACACCTAACCCCACCCCCAACCCTCCACCCCCGCCCCGCCCACACCAACCACAACCACAACCACAACCACAACCACAACCACAACCACAACCACACCTCTACGACCTCTCACAGTCGCCCCCACCCACTCAACCCCCGCATCACCTCACCGCCCTCCCCCCCAACCACCAGCCCCACCAAACCCAACTTTTCCCCACACCATTGCAAACACCAAACTCCTCACGCTCATGTCTAAGCCAAACCCAACCGCACACGACGTTGCCCAAATGAACGTCTACGCCACCATTCTTGGCTCAGCCAGTGCCACCACCCACACCACCCCCACACCGCCCCCCACCACACGCAACCTCCTTCTCTTCCACCTCATCGGCTGGTCGGGCCTTCCACTCCAACACCTTCCCACTTTCCACACCCTCACCAACTCAGCTTGGCACAACATCCTATCCTCCACAAAAGAGCGCGAACAAAAAGTCGAGCATTACTTTACCGGCCCCCTCATCCAGAAATTTCCCAAACTACAGGGTCGCCTCCTCCACGACTGGACCACCACCGTTGCAAAATTCCGTTTTGCTCCTGAACCCCACATGCCAGGCAACAAATCAGGCCTCGGCCCCATGGCGTTCGTCGCCCGCACTACCCGCGAAATTTCGGCCGCCGAACACCAACGCCACCTAAACGCGGAAGCAACAACAATCAGTACCTCTGACGTCCTTCAAACCAAACTCAACACCCCAATCGTCCCCCGCACAGTTTACGAGGTCATCGACGTCATCGACAACCAAATTCAGGTCCTCATGTTCCTTTTCACTCCCCACTGTCCCCTTGCCCGAGAACTCCTCAAAGTCCATGCAGTCCTCCAAGCACACAACACCAGCCTCAACGAAATCCACAACTTCCAGTGGGAAATTGCGGCCGAACTCCTCTGGCAACTCACCATCACGACAAAAGCATTTTTCTCCCACCGTACCACAGAATCAGACCTCCACATGAACAACACCCCCCGACCCAACCTAGACCCCCTCGTCATGGCCGTCGCCGGGGGACTTTTCCACAAAGCCAGCAACAAACCACCCATGTTCTGCCCACCAATCACCAAACGCCCACGCAATCCCCCCCACGCGGACACGCCTCGCCACACACGCCCTCACCGCAAGGACACTCTGCCCGCCCACACCAAAGAACTCCCCGCCCCGTGTCGCAAAATCATTACAGCGAAGAAAAAACCAAACCAACGTTTCCCCAC